TGGTTAATTATTCATATTCCCTGTCGTTGAGCTAAATTCGCTACAACATTTAGAAACATTTTTATTGCTCACAAGTTCACAGCTCAAGATATTTAATGGAGTTCCCACTAAGTTTTGGGGAAATTGAAGAAAACATCTGATATCTGGATACAAAATGGCAAATAAGTTCACATTCCTTAAGTGTATAGATTTATACAATTATTATGAATAGTAGAGTTAAGGCAATCTGAGTTTATTGAGAAACATGACATTAAAATCTGAAACAATTGAGTAAAAGTCTCCAAGTAACCTCCATTTAATCTCATGTCTAGCAGAAACAATTGAGATATTACAGATCACATTTGTGATGTTTATCCCCAACAATGATCTTAGCAACATCAAATTAACTTGAGGGCAAATACTACACTGGTTTCTGCAATAACCTTGAAGCCACTGAAATTATGTTCCTATTTATTAAAATATGTTATGTGACATTAGAGGGAGTGTACTAGAGTATGACATTAAGTACTCTCGTATATTTGTATGAAAGCAATTTTGAGACACTGAGTGGACATACAGTAATGTGTCTTGACATAAATTGTGTCCATGACATAAAAGTGGATAAATCATTGTTAAAGAAGTTCTTAGGAATGAACTGAATTAATTTACTTGTGTTCATGTTGATTTCATATGGTTTTGTAAAACGTTTTCCCATTTTGTATATATTTTTAAATTATTATTATTATTATTATTATTATTAATAATGCACTTTTTATTTTACATAACATAATATATATCTAAAAAAATATGTTGACAACTTATACAAGATAATATGTTATTACTCTGGATATAAACTGGAAGATTTTTGTCTTTTATGACTATAGTCTCACAATATTTTGGAATGTTCCAGAAAGCACTAGAACAGGGGTCTCCAGACTCGGTCCTGGAGGGCCGGTGTCTTGCAGAGTTTAGGTCCAACCCTAATTAAACACACCTAAACCAGCTAATTAAGGTCTTACAAGGTATATTAGACATTTCCAGACAGGTGTGTTAAGGCAAGTTGGAGCTAAACTCTGCAGGACAATGGCTCTCCAGGACCGAGTTTGGTGACCCCTGCACTAGAATATTACAGATGATTCTGGAATGTTACAGAAACGTCTAGAATGTCCCCATCCTTGCAAAAGAAAAATATCTTTAAAAAAAAAAGCTAAATTAGTACAAAAACGTATCTGTTCTAAACGTCTCAGTTACGTATGTAACCCTCGTTCCCTGAAGGAGGGAACGGAGACGTCACGTCGGTGACCGATGAATTGGGATCTTGCTTAGAGAGACCAATCCACTTTGAGAGTAAACTAAACGAGCCAATGCACATTGGCATATGATGATTGCATCCAGCTGCTGCTGATCACAGCGTAAGCATAAAAAGGCAGCCGGTGAAACTCATACTAGGTTTTCACTGAGGAGCCGAGCCGGTGACCCAGCCGCTCAGCAGTGGTACAGCAGCTGTGGCGACGGGACGTGACGTCTCCGTTCCCTCCTTCAGGGAACGAGGGTTACATATGTAACTGAGATGTTCCCTTTCAGTCGGCTGTAGGCTGGGACTCACAACAAGAAGACCAGTCACTGTTGTCATAGCACTACCCACTCAGTGAGATTGGATAACACTCGGAAAATGTACTCGTTCCACTTGAAACAGGGATGTTGCGAAAGCCCCATCCTTCCCGAAGGAGGTTTCAGAAGCACTTCCACATATGAACATCCGTTTAGGTGCATATGGAAGAATAGAGGTGATTGTAACCCTCATGGAAATGGCAGAAGTCTGCCGGGGAAACACGGGCTCTAAGGCTTAACCAGTGGACTTTACACATATGGGAACCACTTAGGCCTCTACATATGGAACCCAGCCCTCTACCGGTTCTCACGGATTCATCGAGTGAGGGACTGGCACCGGACATTCTACCACGTCTGCCTACAGTACGGACACTCTGGAATAGTTTTAGCAAGCTGACAGTAACCGGGGCTATAGAATCTAACGAACGTGTTGGGGGTCGCCCAGCCCGCAGCTCTACAAATATCTGTCAGCGAGGTCCCACGAGCCAGTGCCCAGGAGGATGCAACACTCCTAGTAGAGTGAGCTCACAACCTGAGCAGGCAGGGCACACCCTGTGCCTGATAAGCCAGGGTGATGGCATCCACAATCCAGTGGGCCATCCTCTGCTTAGAGACGGCCTTGCCCTTCTGCCGGCCTACGTAACAGACAAAGAGCTGGTCTGAGGTTCTAAAGCTTTGTGTCCAGTCTACGTAGCATCTCAAGGCTCGGACAGGACAGTGCAAAGCTA